ATTCATTTGCAATCCTTCTGCTTAATGGCACTCCTAAACGGCTAATCTCAAATGGCCTGGCCAATTTGCCTGCCAACTTATTGGCCATTTGCTTAGGGGGCGTTCGGGGGGCGTGGCTGCATAAGATACAACAACAACAACAACAACAAATATTACGCCTCAAAACTGTAAATGGCCAACAACAACAACAGCAACAGCAAAGCGAGTTAACAAAAATGCAATGGCTTTTAGTCGAGCGGGCGCCCACCACCCAACCTCCCACTGCCCGCCCCCTCCCTTTCTCGGGTCGCCAAAACATTTGTTGTTATTTTTAATACAATTATAAAGGGTATTTTGAGTTTGTCACGAACTGTGTAACGCAGAAGTAGGAGATTCAATCGAGCACAAAAATTATATAGATGCATACAAATATATATATATATATGTATATATACATATATTAATATATAAAGCGACAGATATATAACGCAATTAGCCTGATCGGACTATTTTGTCCGAGCCATGCGTCAAAAATTGGAATTTTATAAAAAATTTCTTGTTATTCTTGCTAACCAATATGCTTCTAAACTATTATTCTAGACCATCTTTGCAAAAGTTGACAGTTACATACATATATCAGGTTTCTTACCAATAAGAAAAATCTAATATTATATATACAGTTATATATTATATATTATATATAAACAGCTGAATAATTATTTTTGGTGTAAAGAACTTTTGTGCATGTTTCTGAGCCAAACTTAGCTAATACGAGCTTTGGTCTGCCTCAAATATATATCCAGGATTGCAACGATTTGGATTATCGTATCATATCGGGAAATATCCTTGGTAAATGAAGCTCTAAGTAGAGTATTTAAGCTGCGGCTTGCCAAGAATAGTCGCGCTTTCTTGTTTTTCTTTTTTTTTTATTTCGGCAAATTTCATTATCTGCAGCCGCCATCTTTGTGCTAAACGGCAACACACACACACACACACACACACACACACACACACACACATACAGACAGCCAGAGGCGTGGGGTTTTTTTTTTTACTCTTTTGGGGCTTTATTTTACCTAAGCCAAATCCGCCCCTTGAAGTGTTTATCCTTTTGTTGTTGTTGTTGATGTTGTTGTTGCTGAAGTGTTTTCAATTTAAGTTTAGCGAACAAAACGCCTTTTGATTTTTATTAGCTGAATAGCTCCACACGCCCACGTGGGTGGTTTGGTCCGTGGAGGGGGTTGGGCACAAGGAAGGGTTGGGTATTGTGCTGTAAGCGAAGGGTGAGCGGGGGGAGGGATGGTTTAACGTGAAGGTTGCTCGCTGCCAAAATGCGATTCCATTTGGCCGGGCACTCGTGAAATTTTCAGCTGGCTAGCGGCCAACGAGCACAAATTGGGTGAATTTATGGGCCCAGCCAGGGTTGTCGCCCTCGTAAATTATGCAAATAACTTGGCAGCGCGGGCGAATGGCTCCACTTTGCAGCTGTTCGGCTTAAATATGCATGAATATACACATGTACTATATACTTATACTATATATATTTGTGTTTTTTTTTTTTTTCTCTCGAGTATTTCAGTTATTTTTGGCAGTGGTCGCAGCTAAATGAGAGTCACTTAAATAATTATCATTTCCCGAGGCAAAACGCTCGTCAAAAGCTCATTTGGAGCGTCTCGCGCCGGGCTGGCTGAGTTGCTCCGAAACTGACGAGCGACCAATTAGGCAACGAGACGAATGATGACGTCTGATGCTGAGCGGCTTATTAATTATGGGGAAAAATCTGTGGAAATCGGACCAGCCAACCAGACCAGAGGCGCACACAAATGCGCATTAGCCGCTGATGTTGATGGCTCCGCGTGGCTTCCAGTCTTGTTTTTGGGCTTCTATCAATTACCCTGCACGCACGTGTGGTTAGCTAAGCAATCCGTTCGGGTTTGTCTAGCCTCAGCACAGTCCGAAGACAAGCAGCGCCTGTCCGTGCAACATTTACGAATGCGACACAAAGAGGAATGCAAAAGCATAGGACAGTTGCGAGAGGAAAGTGCCGCACAAAGCGGAATCAACGAAAACGGAGCCAAACGTTTAAGGATGCCGCACAAAGCAGAATGAAAAACTGTTAACGTATTGCATAAGCTACTGTAAGCGTATCGTGTGTTCGTTGCGAGTTCTATCAAATGCCAAGCTTGTTTTCATCTAGGAGCATCATCCAATTGACTCACTCGCAGCTACACTTCAGCGTACATACACAATTAATCTATGGTCTAGGTAGGCCCCTTAGAAATGAAGGCAATTACCAGACGCGCTCGCGGTCGGCGAGGCTAATGAGCAGTAGGAGATCAACTCAATTCATTCATCACTGATGATCACGGCCGATGATGATCAGCAGTGCCCGGGATTGGGAGCCGGCACGCTGGGAATCGACCAGCTCAAGCGTTTTCGGGGCGTGCCAATGGCGTTCTTATTAATTTGCTCAATTTCCACAAGCGAGCAGCGAGCGGCGAGCGGGGGCAGGGCTCAGCGGAGACTGAGGGAAAGTCAAGGAGGAAAAAAAAAAAAAAAAAAAACTTAATTAAAATGTCGTAAACGTAAATTGTATGTTTGTTGGGCTGTCGGTTTGTCGAATTGGCGGGGCAGGAGGCGGTTAGCTCCCAAAATAATTAAGACATTTCACTTCGGACCGCGGGCCAAATGGAAAAATTGTTAATACAAATTGTTTGTTGCCCAATTTGGGCCATACCATGTTTTTCCTCAGCTATTGTTGTTGCTGGCGCTGTTTCGGGTCCGCGACCGAAAACAATAAAAATGACTAATGGCAGCTAATTTCCCGTCCTCGTCCAAAGACGAACTGTTTTACAAATTTCTTGGCCCGCTCGGGCGTTTACCCAATTTGAGAGGCGGCTCAAAAAACGAAAATACATATACATATACATATATACCAGTAGAAGAAATAGTTCTGTTTTGCGGGGGCGTTGACGCCGGACACAATGGGCAGTCGCAGTCGCCTTTAATGACAGGACTCGAGACGAGACGGGACGAGACTCGGAACTGAAATTGGCATAGCAATTGGGAGCAGGAAGCCGAAATGTTTGTGGAAATGGAAATGGAAACATTCTTTCTGCTTGGCCTGTTCACCTGCCGTGCTGACAGTTTTCGCCACCCCCCCCCCCCCCCTACAGCTGCTGCCCTTGTGCATTGCTCCTGCTCCTGGGCGACCTCTCAGTCGAAGTCCGTTTTCAGGCACGTTGACAAAATGGTTTGTCAACAGCCAGCCTTATTGGTGGATAATCTGAATGGATGGCTGCACAAAAATGGTGAACATTCATAAATAGTTGCTTATTCTTGTGTTTTTCTTTTTTTTTGTAATTGCGGTTGAATAACCTTAGGAAACAGCACAGGGGCTTAAGATTTTAAGGGCTAGTGTTGTCAAGTTCCCAAATTAAGGAGTGGGAAAATGCTCAAAGGACATTTGGTTTCTTGCAAAATTATCGCGGCTTGTAGCCCGACTTATATTGCCCCACAATAACTTTAAGCAACCCTTTTCTTCTTCCACTTTTTTCTCCTCTTCTTCCTCTTCCTATTCTTCTTCTATATATCATGCCTATCACAGCTGCGCAATTTGGTTTATCGCCAAATTGTCTTCCAATGCTCTACCAAAGTTTGGCCACACTAGCTTTTAGGCATTTGCAGTTTGGGCACATTTAATACTGTTCCGGCATGCCAAATTGTGTGAAATTTCATGCATTGTTCAATGCATAACGTGAGCTGTCGCACTCAGCCCTCTCTCTCTCTCTCTCTCTCTCTCTCTCTCTCTCTTTCTCTCTCTCTCTCGCTGACTCACAATCTTGGTGCCGTTCGGTTTCCTAATTATTTTTGCATGGCCAAAAATAAAAGGCACAAAATTGCTTGCCAAATTTAATTACGCGCATAATCAAAAAGCAACAAAAATAACGGCAGCTCTCTCACAGGCACGCACACACACACACACACACACAGTAGCAAATGAGCGAGAGAGAGAGAGAGCGAGAGAGGGCAGCAACAGCAACAACAATGTCACAAATGGCCGCTGCAGGCGCCGTGGCGCTAGCGTCGGCCCACAAATTTTGTTGTTGATTAAAAATTGATCAAAAAACATAACAACAAACAAATTATGCATAGTTGTTGTTGTTGTTGTTGTTGTTGTTGTTGTTGTTGCTGTGCGTGTCGCAGCGAATTGATTAAAAAGAGCAATGCGATTGAAATTTTATTGGTAAATTGAATAAAGTGCGCGCCGGGGCGCCAACAACAAAACTGGATTCCGTTTTGCGCTGCTGCTGCTGCTGCTGCTCTTGTTGTTGTTGTTGTTGTTGTTGTTTTAGCCTGTGCTTTTGCGATTTTGTGCTGTTAAGCGTCGCAGTCGACGTCGCTGCCAAAATGCTTGCTATAAATTAATGAGTCGGCCACATATTGTGACCTATGTGTGTGTGAGTGTGTGTGTGTGTGTGTGTGTGCCAGATGCCTTGCTATTGGTGCAGGCAATTGGGTTGTGAAATAATTTAATTATTAAATAGATTACAAATAAACCTTTTCCCACTTAAGTTGCTTATAAAAAATGCTTAAATTATTTACTAGTTGTCAAATAAAAGCCCATTTTTTTTTTGCCCTCAGCTGTCAGAAGAGCGGTTAATGCGTTGCTGAAAAGGCGCAGCCAGTGTAGCCTTTAGGAAAGTGACACAAGGAAGAATAACAGAGGAGAGCAAGTGAACGAAGGAAATGGTAAAATATTGGCCTAAGATTTACGATATGATTAACGCCTAGGTTAAGCAGTCAGTAAAACGTTTAAGAATTCAAGATAGAAACTTAATTATAGACTTTGCTTAGTTAATTTAGCTTAGTAACCGACACATCGAATAATTGTGTAATCCAGGGTAAGTTCTAGAGAAATTGAAATTATGATTTATAGATATAGAGCTGAAGCTAAGCAGCGCAGCCAGTGAAACGTTTCCGAATGTGGAAAGGAGGAACAGAATCGTTTAAGAACTCACCCTCAAGCGCCTCCGTTTGCAGCATTTTACGTGATGCTGGCTCCAGTGCCTCCACCTCCACCTCCAACTCTTCGTCCTGGTCCTCGTGCTGCTCCTTAAGCTGCTGCAGCTTACTCGCTGCATTGGCCGCAACGGCAGCCGCATTGGCGCGCTGCAGCAGCGCCATGTGACGCAGCATGTGCACGGAGGCGTTGCCGGAGGCGCCAGGCGCCGCTCCATGGCGATAGCTGGAACTGGAATTGGCTCCGCTTAGCGGATTCAGGCCCAGAAATGGCGCCCAGCCGGCTGCGGCCGCATAGAGCTGCAGCGCAGATGCGGCATGTGGATGCGTTGCGGTTGGATGGACGCCGGCACCGAAGCCTGGCAAGCCGCCCAGCAGCGGGGCTTGTGTGTGCGCCTGCGCAGCAGCTGCCAGCTGCTTGAGCAGATGATCCATTCGCGGAACGGTACGGTGGTTTGGCTTGATGTGAGGCGGGGAGGGGGCGGGCGTTGTGCGGACGGTTGTGTGCCAAATGCGGCTAACTGTGGGGCGGCTGGAGGCGCAACTGTTGCATCACACGTTAACCAAACACGACACAGCAACAAAAACAACAACAGATACGGCCAAAAAGGATGTGCGACTCGAACTTCGTCTTGGCCGCAGAATGCAGAATGCAAAATGCAGAGAGAGAGAGACCCGGCGATGGCAGCGATGGAGACCCACTGTGCGCCGGCCGCGGCGGCGACAAACAAATTGATTCGAATTAAAATTACACTCAAAGCTCCGAGGCGCTGATTTACGCGCCGAGCGAGCGACCAAACAGAGAGAGAGAGAGAGCGAGCGAGCGAGAGAGAGTGAGATAGAGAGAAGAGGCGCGCGACGACGCTTCAAAGTTGACGTCTAAATGAAAATGGCAAAACGGCGACCGCAGACGACGTTGACAACAGACGACGGCGACGGCGACGGCGACGACGACGCTCGTTTTGTGGCATTTGTTTAATAATTGCATGCACACATATGTGTGCGTGTGTGTGTGTGTGTGTGTGACTATGGCAGCAACAACAACAACAGCAAAAAGTGTCGCAGCTTTGGTTGGCATTGGTGGGTTTGTGTCCATGCTAAAAAGTGAGATGGCAAGCGACACCTGCAAAACAACAGCAGCAGCAAGAACAACAACAACAACAACAACAAGAAGAAGAACAAGAACAACAACAACAACAAGCAGCATAAGCATTTTTCAACACTTGCGGGCAGCTTTTGTTATTGTTGTTGCTGGTCGCATGCGCGACTGCAAGCAAAAATCATTAACGTTCAAATTTATGTGCGCCAAAGCGAGAAATAACAAAACGAACGCAGCAGCAGCGCTGCCAGCGTCGCCGTCGCCGTTGCAATAAAAAGAAAAATGGTTTCACTTAACAAACACGCCAAGGCGCTGCGCTCTCTTCCGCGCGCCATGCTGCCCACTCCACTTCACACACTCGCACACTCGCACACACACACACACACACACACACACACACACACACAGGCACTCACACTACGCGCTACATGCAGAGCGCAATAATGGTATTTTTCTGGCTCAGTGCGCGCATGCTAAAGTGAGAGAGCGCTAGCGCTCAGGCGAACTGAGCAAGAGAGAGGCGCAACAGTCGTCGACGACGACGACGACAACATCGTGAAAATGAAATGAAAAACGCCAAAAAAATTGATTTAAAGTGAATTTGTGTGTGTGGCTTGCGTACGTGTGTGTGCGTGTGAGAGTGTCTCATCGTGCACGCCAAGTGCAAGCAGGCCTGCCAGCCAGCTAAATGGTGGCCACATTCGCTGTGCGAAAGCGAGACAGCGCTACTGACACAGGCGTGGCCAAGGAATAGTGGGAAATTTGTTGGTTTGCCCAGCCACAGCATTATGATTATGGGCAATTTGAGCGCAAAGCAGCGCTGCCAACTGTTACGGGTCGCTGCTGTTGGCGCTGCCAACTGACATTTTATTGATTGTTTTATGCGATTATAATGTAATAATGTCTTAAATATGCAGCAGGCTGGGCCATAGAGCAGGCCACCCCCCCCCCCCCCCCCCCCCCCCCCCCACTCTCCTGCTGCTTGCTGCAACTGCGCAGCTGCGACTTTTGCGTCTTTTGAAATGAATTATGCACACACAGACAGACACACACACACACACACACACACACACACGGAAGCACGCACACAAAGACACTGTGAAAATTTGCCGCCCTCGCTGACCATTTGCTAGGCTGCAGCCACTTCGTGCCCCCCTCCCAACTACTTTCAGACTTGTGATTGGCAAAAATGAAAATACACACACACACACATACACACGCACACTATTACGTTCGGCACTTTGCTGCTGTTGCTGTCGCTGCTTCTTCGGCTGCTGCTGCTGCTTCTTGTGCTTCTTCTTCTTCTTCTGGGGCCATTGTCAGTGGTTTGTGTTTTTTTTTATCGGCAAGCAAAAATCTATAAACGGGCAGCGGCCGCCGCACTCAACTCAATTCAATTAATTTTCACTTGATTTTTCCACACACAAACAAATTTTCATTTAATTTGGCTGCGGGGCGTCTTCTTCTTCTTCTTCTTCTTCTTCTATTGCTATTTCTGCTTCTTTACTCGTTCCGCTATTTTCTATCTTCTTCTTCTACTGCCGCATTAGCTGCTGCTTATCGTGCGCCATTTTCTTGCACTTGATTTTCTATTAACTCGACTGTCTCTGTGGAAAAGTTTTGCCAGACTTACCCCCCCCTTCTGGCCGTTGTTAGCAGCCCCTCCGGCTGGCACAAATCTAATTTGACAGTCGCCCGCCTTTAATATATGTTTTATTATAATAGAACTAATTTGCGCATGAACATTATAATGTTTATTGTTATATCCAGTTGGGCGCGCATTTATTACGATTTGCATTTTCATTTTCGTTTTCCCATTCCCCTCTTATCCATTTTCATTCTTTTTAAGCTAATAATTCGGCGGCTGCTGAAATTGCGGCAACTGATAAAACCTAATTAAAAATAAATCAAAAATATTATTCAAACAAATTGCGAATGGGTTGCCGTGGGTGTCTACAAATATATACATATATATATATATATATATATATATATATATATAATCCAAATATGATCCATATATATATATTAATATCTATAAATAATGCTTATTTCGAGTCTAACTCTTTAAGCATGACAAAAATTCAATTAACTTTGGTTTCCATTACACGAGCTTATAAAAACCTTTAACTTTCTATCTCTTACGGCTTGGGTTGTCAGTCAGTCAATCACTCACTCACTCAGTCAGTCCGTCAGTCAGTCAATCACTCAGTCAATCACCCACTCACTCAGTCAGTCCGTCAGTCAGTCAATCACTCACCCAGTTAATCACTCACTCAGTCAATCACTCAGTCAATCACTCAGTCAATCACTCAGTCAATCACCCACTCACTCAGTCAGTCAATCACTCACTCAGGCAATACTTAACTTAATACTCGATCCAAATATAATTCATATAAGCTATGGCTCAAGGCTCTTCAAAACGAACTCAATTTAAATAGCTACTTTGTAGTTCTTTCATTTAAAGATTCTGAAGCAAGCCAAAAACTCTTAAGTCAAGCATAAGTCATGCTTCATTTAAGTCAAGCTTTGAATAGTTTTTCAAATAGCAATAAAATTTCAAGACTCTAGTCAAAAAGTCATCTTATATTTTTACAACAACAAAATTAGAAGCTATTAAAATGTTTTCTTAAATCAAAAGCCGAATCGTTTAAAGCTTTAACTTAATTGAAACAAGTGTCTGAAGACTTAATCGGGAATTGCATAAGAGCCAATAGCTTTAAGTAGCTCAAATTGGGCTCAGCTTAAGCATCTTTTATTTGTTAGCTGAAAAACTTAATAGACCAAACATGATTTAAGTTTCTTCATACTTTAAAATTCAGACTCAAAATAAGCATTTGAGGCTTGAAACAAGTAAGCGCAGTCATCATGCGCTGGCCCAAGACATGAATCAAGTGTTTTAATTCTTAAGTTAAGCTTGAAACTAGGGACTTTTCATGTATATATATTTCTATATATATGTAGATATCAAATGAACTACAAATGCATGGCAATTTAGAGGTCGAACGACAAACCATTTGATATCACCTGATATTTATATATATTGTTAAGCAAAGCGCAAAACAATTTAATTTGTTATACTTCAATCGATTAATATATATTTATTTTTTATTGCTTTTTTTGCTGGTTTATCAAAATGCCGACATCAGAAATCAATTATTATTAAAAGCGCATTAAAAACAATAAAAATGTCATTATAATAAAAATCGAAACGCAAACGAATAAGCACACATACTTATATACATATGCATACATATTCACATGTATTTAAAGTGAATAAAAAAAATGAATACAAATTTGTAATCGTTTTGCCATTCAAGTTGAACGAATCAAGTTGCGAGTTGTTATCAATGCTGGGCTCCATATCGACCCCCAGCCCCAAATCCAACCTTCCCCAACCCCAAACACATATCATGAGCACACCTGCTGTCAGTCCGCGCCTCCCTCCTCCCACACCTGGCTATGCACTGTGATTTTTATTACACTTTATTATTATTTACCTACTGTCGACTAATTTGTTTTTAATTTGTGCTGATAAAATTTATGAATAAATAAAACGAACGTTGAGCAAATAATGAAATTAATAACTGACTACATGGGCGGCCCTGTGCATGGGCGTGGGCTGAAGGAGAGACTGAAAGAGGGGCTTCTGCTGTTTGGCTGATGAATACAATAAAGTAAAACCCCATAGAAAAAAAGCACAACAACTAAACGACAGAACATGCCACAATAATAATTACAATAACAAATAACAAATATCAAATACACTCACACTCACATTCACACTCACACTCACGTTTTGAGTGGCATTCGTAGTCGTAATGCCGAATAATGACATTATTTGTCCCCGATTGATTTGTCAAATCGGTATTATTTGATATTTCCAATTCGAATTGGAACGCGTTTCGATATTAAAAACAGTTTTGGGCATATTCATCAGAGTGGAGGGGTGGGGGCGTGTCGACAAAGGGGGGGGGGGGCACAAAGTGCAGCTCAACGGACCGCATTGAGCCGCTAAAATTTGGCAAAGGTTACATTTCCTATAGTATATATAGACATAGCAGAACAAGCAGATATAATACAGAATCAGGGATATATTTTAAAAGTTTAAAATAAACCAATTCATTTTGTCCACCAATTTTAACCACAATTTCGATTGCGGATTTTGAGCGTTCTTTAATATAAACTTATTTTTATTACAATTGTTGTTTGTAGAAGCGAGTGCAGGGTATGCCCTAGTCGGGAACTCCTCCCTCGAGACTGTTGTTTAATAGTATAAATTTAAAAAATTCGGATACATTTACATATTAAAGACAGTAGCTGTTCACATAGCTGCTCATATGCCCTGCCAAATTGTTGTAGGGCATTGTCCTGTCCCAAAATAATAGAGAGCGTGATGGCTGGAAAGGGTCTATGGCTGGCGGGTGCAGATGGAGTGGGCGGTCGCGACCGGGTGTTGGCTAACATAATGACTTTATTAGCCAACTCATAAATGTAGCGGCGGGAGCAGACAGCAGATAGGGCCCAGGCGAGACAGGTGAGAGTAGACAGCCAGACAGAAGAGAGGAGGCAAAAGACAGAAGAGAGGAGTCAGGAGCCGGGAGACATGTCTGCAACGCACTGGGAGATTCACTTGGAAGCTACCTGAAATCGAAATGCGAAACAAGCACACTCCCTGTGTGTGCTTGTGTGTGTGTGTGTGTGTGTGTGTGTGCTGTCACATTTTGTTGATTTGTTT